ACTTACAAGCAGCCTGTTGCCTGGGCAGCCACTCAGATCTCCTACCCCACGCCAAATGGCAGGGCTGTGTCTCATGGCCTGTGTACTCATGGAGGCTGGAGACCCTGACCACACTTAGTGGGAGTTCAGAATCTTCATGTCAGCTCGGTTGAGTGTTGTGCCTAATCACAGATCTTCTTTCATTTGGACTCATCCCCTTGGCTCTTAAATTGGTACCTGGAGCAAGGCATACCACCCTAGGCATGCAGTCCCCTCTGGCTGTACTCTTCATTCCTACCCCAAGTCCAGCAGCCAACTCCAATCTCAGTTCCCTGGCCTCCACCTCCAGGTACAGCCAAGGGAGGCAGAGTTAGCCAAGCACTTCCCCAGCCATTTTCGCTTACAGTTGAAGCCAGAAGCCAGAAGCACACCATTCTCCACACAGAGCTCCCCAGAGTCCAAGCAAGCCTCAGTTCCCCCACCTAGGCCCAGGCCCGCTTGGGTATGCATGCACACACAGCAGGGCTGGGTGGAAGCAGCTCTAGTAGCCTCTCCCACACTAATAAGGGGGTCCAAACCCAGACAAACAAAAGACAAGCTGGGGGGGTGGGGAGGAGGGAGGAAAGAAAGAAAAAATTAAAAAACAAAACAAAACAAAAAAACTATGATGATTTTGCCCTCATTGTAAGACAGGTCAGCCAAGACATACCTTTTGACTAAGACCACACAGCTGTTCATTCTTGGGACTGCCAACAAGGTGGATGGTCTTCTCCATCGCCCAGAGGCCTTGAGCAAGTGTTGCTTTGGTTTATTTCAGGAGGTGCTATTGGAAACATAAAACAAAGTGCCTGGAGGGCACTATAAAATAATAGAAGAAATACAGGAGACTTGATCATCCAACAGGAATTTATATGTTTGTAAACAGGGGCAAGGAAGGGAAATATACTGTGAGGTATCATTCTTGCTTCCATGAGCACAGCCTCGGGTTGTTGAGTCACTGCTGAGTTCATGACTTTCTGCTTATGTTCCGTTCCTGCATTTGGAAATTGCTCTTCGCCAGGAGGAAAGTGAGGAGAAAACCAGCAACAACACAACAGCAGCTATGCTGACGGAGAGGAGGAGCCCAGGAGGCGTTGCTGGTCTGGGCCCAGGCGCTCGGGGGAGGCCACACTCCAGTGGCCCAGACTTCTCAGGAACTGCTGACATTTTCTTGCAAGCAGGGAGGAAGATGGAAAGGTCAGGGAGGAGAAATGGGGAGGGGGCTGCCGTGAGGAGCCACAAACTCCGTGGGGTACAGAAAGTGCAATCATCTCCCATTGAGGAAATCCTCCTGCCTAGGTCTCCTTGAATCAATCCTCCCCCCAGTGGCTTTCTTCTAAACAGGATATGACTTCAATTTCTTTGATTTCCCTCCTCTCTCTCTCAAATAAAAGGTCTCTCTCAAATAAAAGGTCCACTTCTAATAATAGCTAGAATACATAAATAATAGTTTTTTAATGTTATTGGTTCTTTGTTTCCAAACCCAATGTTCCTCCTCTGTTCATTTTGCCAATAAATAGGAAAACTGAGGAAATCAACTCTGCTCGTGTCAAAAAGATCCCCTCCCCCCCCTAAAAAAGAGAGAATCTGCCTAACTTCCCATTTCTATGGAAAATAAATAGTACATCATGATGCCATCTCTCTGAAGGACTGTTATTCTGCTTTTTTTGTTCTGTTTTGCTTCAGTAGTTTGTGCTTCTGTTGTACATACCCAAAATGGAGGGAAGCTGGGGAAGGGACATGTGGAAAGTGAGAGGAAAAAGCAGGGAGGAAGGGAAAACCTAAAGTTGTCTTTCATTAAAAAAATATCTCAGAACCAGAACAATGACCAAAGTCAGAGGGTGATGGCTAATTGCCCAGAGAGTCTGTTCCGTGGGTTTAGCAACTGCCCTTTTTATCTGCTGTGGGTGAACCCCGGCCACTGCGGCGTCCTCGGCAGGAGCGAGGCTCTTCCAAATCGTCCTCGTCAAAGCCGTGGAAAGTTGAGGTGTCACTTTCTGACGTGGAACCGAATAAGTCCTCCGTGGTGCGTGCTGCGGCCGCTGCCTCCTTCTCCTTCCTGCCTTCTCCTCCCAAATGAGCTGACATGTATGATGAATATATCAGCACATGGTTAAGCAACAGACAGCATTATTAATATTCTTATTTACATTATTACAATGTTATTTTTAATAGCAAGATCATAAACCATTATACACCAAAAGGGATTAACTGGATGCATCACCTGGCGACAGGGATTTAGGGTAAGGAGACACAGCCAACATTTCCAGGGAAAAGGATTCCTCCCTCCCCAAAAAGCATCATCTCTACCATAATATATATGTCCACAGCTCTGACAGCGAAAGCTTCAACCTGGGTCTTTCTTTCTTCTCTTCTGTATGCACACATACGCATGCACACTCGCTCAACCTGTCCCAGACAATGAATTTCCTTGGTGGTTTTAAAGCCTGGTTGGTATTTCTTTGGTGTTTTTTCGGTTGCTGTATCTTTGAACAATGTTTGTCCTTCACTTTGACAGTCAGTTTTACAAAGGTATTACTATCAGATAACCTGTTCGAGGTGGTTAAGCCTCCATCCATTTTGTTTTTATTTTTACCCATTTCTAATCCCATTCTTTCGGTACCCTTTCAATTCTGCCCTTACACCATGTAGTTCATTTGCACTGAAAGCAAAAAGAAGTTGGAAAGGCTGATAAGTGGTAGGTAACAAAAGAGTCTCTCATTTTCTGTAACCACTGGAGGACACTTCTGTGAGCTGCACCCACATACATGCACATAAACATACACATGTGCGTGCCCATACACACACATACACACTCCAGCTGCTAAAGACGCCCAGGTCTTAGTTACTCCAGAAAGTTCAGAGTTGTCAAATCTAATTCAGAGCATTAAGAAAGTGAGAAATAGGGGGTAAAAAAGCCTAATAAAATACAGGATCCTGAAATCTCTAAAACTCAGGTTTAAGCTTTTTCACATTCTAAGTGGGCCCCAGGACTGCTCTCAAATGAAGTCGTGATAGGCCGCTTATGGTGCCAATTTCAGGAATCGAACTTTCTCCCCAGGAAACAGAGGTAGCAGGGTAGATGGAAAGGGAAAGGCAGCTCTTCCGAGTTCCTCATTCTTCCTTGGGAGGACTCCAGGGAGGCCCTAGAGAAGTATTTGCCCACCTGCTTTAACAAGCACACCCCATGGGCTAAGGCCACCTGTTTATTCCCAAGGTATCAACTATTTCAGGAACATCAGAGTCAGACCTTGACTAAATTATCCACCAAAATTAATCCTCAGCAAATGCAATGTGAAGACCTAGGCTGGTATAAAATGGCCCCCTGAGTCACACAGCAGACAGATCTAGGGAAGAAAAAGCTGAATAAAGGCTGTGAAGAGAAAGGGGTTGGGTAGGAAAAAAAACAACTGCCCATTTCTGGTCCCCCATGGCAAGTACCCCATCCCTTGTAGGAAAGGAAGGGGGGAAATTATAGCAGTTTGCAGTGAGAATTCTGAAGCTGCCCTCTCTAGTACATCCCAAACCCACAGCAGTCCATAGCATTCTGCCTAGAACATCACTTTGCCGGGTGACTGCTTCTGGCGGTAGAGATTTTGTCTGATCGCTTGCTTTTAAAAAACACTGACTTGGATTTCATTTGTTTCATTTTCTTTTTATGTATCTAAAACCCAGAGTCCACTCTCACATGGGCCCGTTCTTCTAAGCTAGCACCAGTAGAGTAAAAAGTTCAACATTAGGTATCATGTTTGGAAAGTAAATGAATTGACAGAATTGCACAGACGGGCCCCCCGTCAGAGTCCTTAAGAGTTAAATGTTGAGGGTTGTGTGCAATGGAAACCATACTCCTTTTCCAACTACTGATTTGCCACTCAAGTCAGTCTTGAAGCCTAAACAACCCAAACACCAAATATAAAGAGACTAAAGCTAAGGTTTGCGGGCAAAGCAAGGGAAGAACAGAGTTGCTATAGTAAACCCAAGTGTGGTCATCTCAGTCCTTCTCTTGGGACTAGGAGTAGAAGAGACACTGGGTAGAAAGAGAGAAAAGAGTGATGACTCCTCACTGCTGGACCCACCATCCAACTGAACTGTCTTTCACCCACTAGTCAGCAGCTGATGAGACTCAAGATGAATCTGAAACTTTCTCTCCTCCCTGCCTTGTGCTTCAGCCTAGTTATCACAAAATAATTTGAAAAACAGGTAGTACCAACCAACCATGACCAGCCAAAAATAATAATTTGGTTAGAATTGAAAAACCAAACAACAGCTTGAACAAAACTTGAAGACCTGAACTCATTTTAAGAAATGAAAGAACAAAACCAAAGTCTTTTTTCATTGTTTTAGTCTTTGGATAGATGAAAGATGAAAATTTCAAAACATGCCAACTCAACTCCAGATTAGCGCTAAAAACACCTGCCCTTTTGCCTCCTTGATCTATCAGGGTCTCTTTTGTCTGTTCCATATGAGAAAATGGGATGAGTGGCCAATGGAGGTGGTATTTATGCAGCAAGCCAAGAGCCCAGGGGTCTCTGACTCCCACAATTCAAGACGTGGCTACTCTCCCAATATTCACGTTTCCATACTCTCCCCGTTTGCCCCAGGCACTTCCACAGAACAAACACATCTTTTAATTACATGCACAACACCTGATACAAAGAAGCATGTTGCCTGTGTCTCCAGGTGTTTCCACACTATCTCACTGTTGTCCACCACAACACACACAAAGAAATATCCACCCCATGGAAAGGCCAGACACAAGTCAAAAACTTCTCCTTTCCCTTTTCCCCAGATTCCAGGGCACAACTTTTGATTCTTATGACCCAAAGAAGAAAAATATCAAAATGACCTGACAACTCCTCTCCACTCAAAATCATCACCACCTTCACTTCTCCACTCCACCCTTCAACCCCCACACAAGATGGAATGCAAGTGGAACAGTTCCTGGTCTACAGGCACATGATGCAAGAAGGGACCACACTCACCAGAGCGTCCACAGTCTGCACAGGACACCAGCTCTTCAGGCCGCCCACTCTTCTTGTTCATGTTAGAGCCCCCCAAGCAGAAGTCACAGTAGTTATTGGGAATGACTGTCCCATCCGGTCCTTTCTGGGCTGTGGAAATATATAAAAAAAAAAATCCAATTTTAGGCTGAGATGAGTTTCTACCGGCCCCTTTTCTCCCACATTGTGGCAGAATTGCTCCAGAAGGAATATGAAGTTTAGAATCTGAGGTTGTGTTACAACCAAATTGTTAAATTGCACTGTTTTCTTTTTAATCCTCCTCAGTTCAACAGTCTTAATGCCTTGCAAGCCATCCAGAGTTTAATTTGATTTTTGCAATATTTCCCATCTCTGTGTTTTTACACAAACTACTTGCTCCTCTGATCGCATCCCTGGATGGGCAAAGCATCCAGAAGGCCTACTAGTCAAGTGAACTTCTCCTAGCCCTGAACAACCAACTCTCAGGGCCTGACAGCAGATGGAAACTATAAACAATGGTGTGACTAGAGGGAGAGAGAACGGTCAATGCCCAGGCCGTGACGTTGGGAAAGATGCTCTCGTTTAGATGTTCCTCCTGTCCCTGAAAATGAAAACAAAGAAGCACTGATGGGCGGTCATTTTCAGGAAGGACACTGAAGATGCTCTTGGGTACTCTGATGAACATTTTGGCTGGTGTTCAGCCTCATCTCTCTGAAGTCCAGACTCATTGGTCAAGGAAAGCATCCAGGACTAGTTAATCAGCAGATCCCAAGTGCCTAGAAGCAGAACTGGACACTTAGTTCAGTGACAGGACACTCTGGCCTCATGCCAGAGATAGGTTGAATGGTGAATTAGTGAGCATGTCTTGAGGCTTAAGACCTTCATAAGCCACCCATGCTGAAAGTCCTTATACAAAGGCAAAGAAACATCTTGGGACACGATGTTAAAAACAACGCAGCACATGTCCTCGAGCACTGAAATCATCCTCAGTTTCTGGGGGCCGGTTGAAAAGCCTTGGACAGACCTTTGCATGGTAAGAAATACCTCCATTTTCCTGTCTTGTTTTACCCCTATTGTGGACATTTCTTTGTCACATTAACACTCCCTGTTTGTGACTAAAAAGAAAAGTCTCTCTATTTATGGGATCAGCCTGAACCACTGGGGTATTTTCCTCCTCGCTATGCCCATTGTCTGCTATCTTTCATTATTCACTGGCTAACATTAATCAGGGTCCCGTAGGGTAAAAATCTGTAAAAGGAAGCAGATATGTGAGCAGAAATACCATCCAGACAGTTAGTGATAAACGGATTCACCCACTTTAATATGATTCCCTCTGGCCTCCGCTTCCTCCTACCTCTGCTTTGCCTCCAGGAATAGAAAAGCTTACCTGGGGAAGGCAGAAGACAAAAGCTTGCAGAATTACATTATAGAGGGTTAATCCATTTATCAATTGCTATTTGGATTGTTTAATCAGTTTCTAAGTCATTGATTTTCATCTTCAGGGAGACAGACAAGTCTCTGCAAGAAAAGTGTTGGATGTTTGGGGCAGACAGAGGAGCTGGCCACACTCGGTGGCCTGTTGAGTGGGTTTTTCTTCATCGGTCACTGCATCTCAAAGACATCTGCATCTCATACAGAATGGTTTCGCAAATAATCTCCAAAAATCAGTACGTCTGCAAAACTTTTACTCAGCCTCTAAAACTTTCATTGGCCAAATCCAGAAGGAAGTCCCTTTCTTCCTTCTCTCTCAATTGCCATCTTAACCATTTTTAGAACTCTCTTAAGAAAATCCAAGCATGCCTATGAAGCAAATAAACTCAGGGTTTCCTCATTAATAGACTATCATAGAAATCAATCAAAAAGTGAACAGAAAGAAGTGGGGTATATTAAATTTAGGGGTTGAGCTAAGTTTCAGGATTGACATGAACTAGATATAAAATGTAGAGATGCCAATCACAACTTAGGTAGCCTCCTGCATGAAAAGCGTTCGAAGAATCCCATGCATATCATCCACTGAAACTCGCAGGAGGCCCCATCTCATCATCTGTCTCTCTCCTGTTCTCTAGGGACTTCCTATTATGTCAGATTTTCTCCCCTTTCAAAAAATCTTTAAGCAACCAAAGAATCTGCAACACACTGTATCCCTTGTGATTTATGAGGATGAAGAAGTAGAATATACAGTACAAGAACTCCCAGATAATTCTTTACAGTTTTTACCACAAATAGACCTTTAGTGGAATACCCCATTGAATTAGGGACTCCGATACTGCAAGAAATAAAAAATTCAGAAATGATCTAGTAGAACAAAGCAGACAGTGATAGAGAAATTGATCTATGTAAAAAGACCACAGGAGCAGAATTTAATTCATCTGATGAAGAGAAGTTTCTGAGGAGACTGATTCAGAGCAGGGTCCCCCCATACATTTGTGTTGGTTGTTGCCCATAGAAAGTGCCTGGCCGAGGGGGTGAAGAGGTGCTAAAATGCCAGTTGTAGGCCCTGGTGCATGCAGTTGTGACGTGCAGGGGTGGGGGTTGTGGGGGATGGCGTGTACGATTTTAGTCTAGCAATTACACAGTACAGAAAGTGACAGTGAACAGTTATACTTCATTTTTAGCAAAATCCTTTTTGCTTCAGTTCCTACTCTCTTCTCACGACAGAGAGCTCAAAGCTTCCTTCCATCTTGGTAAAATGGCAGCGTGGGATGGACTAATCCATAGCTTTTGCATCTGGTTCATTTATACTTTTTGGTACATTTTTAGGATTGGTTTCTGAGTGAGAGTTCTCCCATGGAGCTCTCCCAATTCCCCAGCCAGAAATGACCAGTTACACCTTGGGGAGGGCACTCTGCTGACACCACTTTTATGACCCTTCTCTTGTTTACATACATGTGTACACCTTCCTCATGTCCCCATATCAAATGATCTACTCCTTCAAGTCGGGGACCATGTCTAACTCATTGTTGTAACACCCACATGCCTTGCACACAGGAAATGGTTAACAACAATGTGTGGGATGAACAGCTTGGAGAAGGAAGGTGGAGATGTAAGTAGGCTGCCCAGTGACACCCCTGGGACCTCCTCCTACAGGGACAGAGCCCTGTGTTTGCCTCCTCTGTGGCCGAGTTATCTGTTGCTCTGAATATCATTCACTGCCTGGTTTATTTCCCTAGTCTTCAGAGAGAAGAGCTGGTGTATGTCCAAATGCATTGGTCAGTCATCTGGCCTGGTCTCATGTCTAGCTCCCAGAGAACACAAGAGTGGGTGGCTGATGGGCCGGCCCTGTGGCTTGGTGGTTAAGTGCGCGCGCTGCGATGCTGGTGGCCCGGGTTCGGATCCCGGGTGCGCATCGAGGCACCACTTCTCCGTTCATCCTGAGGCCGAGTCCCACATACAGCAACTAGAAGGATGTGCAGCTACGACATACAACTATCCACTGGGGCTTTGGGGGGAAAATAAAATAAATAAAATCTTTAAAAAAAAAAAAAAGAGTGGGTGGCTGAGAGCCCTGGGTTGCTGGAAGAATTACACCGTACCCCTACTATGGTAGGTAAAACATCCTGTACACAAACATACAAGAAAATTATAAGACTATGATTCATTGTCTCTTGAGAAGGGGACACCAGGTTATTCCTACCCACTCAGCCTCCCTCTTGTTCAACTGGTTTTGGAAAGAAAAAAAAGCAGACACTTATTGTACTACAAAACTGTGATGGATCTTATACTGAAGGCTTTACATATGTCATATCATAGATTCTCACAAAAACTTTGTAATGTAGGGATTATTTAACTGATGAGGTCACTGAAGCCCAAAGAGATTAAGGCACTGGCTCCAAGCCCCGGTTACAAAGTGGAGGAGACGGGCTTCACCCTGGGTTGTCTGTGTCCCCAGACACTCTCTGCCCCTGGTCACACTTCTTTGCCCCCTGGGACGTCCAGAGGCAAACACTTTCTGGCCATACCTTGCATATAAAATATTTCATAAACCTCTTTCGTGTCAGCTTGATTTGCCCAATACATTATTATGAAGCCCAACACAATAAAAATTATTGAAATTGGCCTGATAAAAGTGGAAATTCCCTTTGAGCTTAAATTTAATGTCCCTACCACAGTAATATATCCTGGGTGATCCTGTTTATTGTCATATACTCTGCAGAAACACTTCTCCAGAGAATTCCAGAGGCTCATGAAGACATTTTTTTAAGTAAATCTTACACCATGGCTATACCAGCCTATGGCCTGACCCAGCTGTGAGCAATTTCCTGGTACCATGTAAGAGATCATTATAAAAAGAATTTTACTATAAATAGGAAGCTCGCCCAGACCTTGCAAGTAGGATTTAAATAGAGATTCTGCTTAGGGGAAATTGAGTCCCGCTTTATAGAATAAGATGATGGGGAAGGCAAAGACCAAGTGGTATCTTGATGGCAGCATCCGCGATGATGGATTTGGTTTTCTGTTGATTAATGTTCACGGGCTGAGATCATATAACAGATACAAGGAAGCTGCCGAGAAAATAAAGTGAGCCTTAAGAGTTTAGGAATTTACCTGGGGGAGATAACTCTAGAAAGCTCAAAGGAAAAACAAATGGAAATCAGCAACAAAGTTCACGAAGAAATGCAAAAATAAATAAGTAACAAAGGGTGGGAGAGAACGTTCAAATAAATCAAACCAACAGAAAGGAAAAGCCAGGCCCCCAACAGTACCACCACCACACTCAGTAAAGGGTGAGCAGTCATTCTGGAAAGGTATTAGTGTGCGCTATAGGATTTTTTACTTCAATCAAGCCACATGTCTGTGGCAAACAAGGCCCCAAATCTTCCATAGAACCACCACCTAGACAGGGCTGTCTTTCTCCCTTTCAGTCTGATCTCTGCTGTGATATGCCTGCCACTTATGAAAAGAATGAGTGGCAGGGATAGTCTGGCCACCAGCAACAGCCCCTCATCTGGTTCTGCCAAGACCAAAGCTACAGCCCAAGTGTCCTAGGGAAGCAAGCCAGAAGTTTAGGCTCCTCCACGGCACATCCACAAAAGCATGACTTCATATCCTGAGCAGACGCTCAGACCGCCTGCCAGGGCCTGGTGTACACAAGCACGCGGCCATGCTCCATGCCCACCACCCAGCCCCGGTGC